CGGTCAGAGAGCGCAGGCATGGTACAGGAGACGGTCAGAGAGCGCAGGCATGGTACAGGAGACGGTCAGAGAATGCAGACATGGTAGGGGAGACGGTCAGAGAATGCAGACATGGTAGGGGAGACGGTCAGAGAATGCAGACATGGTAGGGGAGACGGTCAGAGAATGCAGACATGGTAGAGGAGGCGGTCAGAGAGTGCAGGCATGGTACAAGAGACGGTCAGAGAACGCAGGCATGGTACAGGAGACGGTCAGAGAGCGCAGACATGGTAGGGGAGACGGTCAGAGGGGGCAGACATGGTAGGGGAGGCGGACAGACATGGTACAGGAGGCGGTCAGAGGGGGCAGACATGGTAAGGGAGGCGGTCAGAGGGGGCAGGCATGGTACGGGAGGCGGTCAGAGAGCGCAGACATGGTAAAAGGAGGCTGTCAGAGAGTGAACATGCTACATGAGGCACAGGACTGACAATGCATTACATGAGACTGCTAGAGATCCCTGGGTCCCTCCCTCAGATCTGCTCTCTGCACAGGGTATGTACAGCACAGTGATGATGTCATTGCTACATCTACAATGTAATATCTGGGTTTGTAAAGACATTTCAATGAAGATTTGTGGCCAGAATTCGTGTTTAATATTCATCAGTTTTTATTTTTGTTCCACAATCGGGAATTCTGCATTTTAATTGCGACTTCTATCCGGAATCGGAGGCGAGATCGGGATTTGGGGGTTTAATTCACTCCGAGCAGACATAAATCTTTCCCTCGTGACCTACATAGCGGCGGTGCCAGTGTATGTCGGCATTTGGAGCACATGCTTGGTAAGCCGGGTCACATGCGAGCTCCGCCATCCACACCACAACAACACGCCTAATCCCCGGCTCACACGGCCGGCGCGTTCTCCGCTGAGCCCGGGAGGAATGCTCATTGAAAGACCCCAAAAAAACACGGCACGGCGCACATTCCACCCCCGTCATAACGAGCATTCGTCAGCATGCGTCCCGTTCTACCGCAATCTGCCAACGTCCCCGGATATCTATGGATTCAAATCCAGGAATTATTGTGTGAAAGATCTCAAACACGAAACTTCTTCTACTATCTGGTAATAAAGACCGCTCACTGCTGCTCTCTGTCCTTGTGCAGGGCGACTGGTCTTGTCTCCGCCCCCTCCTGTAATAAAGACCGCTCACTGCTGCTCTCTGTCCTTGTGCAGGGCGACTGGTCTTGTCTCCGCCCCCTCCTGTAATAAAGACCGCTCACTGCTGCTCTCTGTCCTTGTGCAGGGCGACTGGTCTTGTCTCCGCCCCCTCCTGTAATAAAGACCGCTCACTGCTGCTCTCTGTCCTTGTGCAGGGCGACTGGTCTTGTCTCCGCCCCCTCCGGTAATAAAGACCGCCCACTGCTGCTCTCCTCCTCCTCTCCATTCCAAATGTAAAAGTACAATGACAACAATCCATAAAAGATCTTCGGTACCCGAGGACGCCGGTCCATCCTCTCCATACACTGACCGCTCTTCATCAAGTCACATCTCACCAAGCCGGATATAATAGCAGAGGAAGAAGACAATTCCACTAGAGGACCTCCTTCACTGGATACAGATGGCCAGGCCCAACTTCCTCCCCCCAAACCTGCAGAGGCCCGACATCCTCCCCCCCAAACC